TATTATATTATATTATATTATATTATATTATATTATATTATATTATATTATATTATATTATATTATATTATATTATACACGCCGCTAAGATGCGGAATGCACACGAAACTTCGAAACTTCAGACTAATGGTCGGCTGGTCAACCCCAGATGGCACAACAGATTCCACTTAAGCGTCATCGATTTAATACTGGGACGATGGTCGAAAGACAGATTGAAGAAACGGCAGAGAGAAATTATATTCATACTGGCTTCTTCAATCCGATCTACTTCATGTCATTTATTCAGGTAAGAGGTAGCTTGTTTATTTTATTCCGACAGCAATTCAAACAAGAAAAGCTCCCCAGCAGTAAACAATTTTCAGAAACACCATTGATTTTCGGTACTTTTAAAGGGACTAAAACCTGAGCAACATCATCTGATATGAGGGTGTGAAAATTACGAGAAATTTTAGGGTGAATGTCGGAGCAGAATCAAGTTCTGTTACATTAGTTTACTCATTGAAATGGCAAATTTACGTACACTTATCGGTTATCCACAGGTAGCTGTGGACCATAAACAAGTCTTTTAACAAATAATAATAATTACGCAGCACGTTTGCGTAGGTGTTGGTTTGGAGTGAACTGAAAAAAAATATATCCACTCAAAAGGTTAATTTTTGAACTAAGAAATAATCAGTAAGTAAAAACAGAAGTGGTTGTCTATGGTGGATATTAAAACATAAAACTGTGTCACAAAGTTTCGCCCAACAGGTTTATTTGTCGATAAGAACATCGGCTAAAAATATTTTCTACAACTAAGGTTCCTATTATTTTTTCCAGATGGTTTCCAACTGAAATATCACATCATCTTTGAATTTCGAAGTTAACCAGTACACCAGCTATACAAACACTAAATGTTTGATCCCGTGGGTTGTACCAGTACACCACACTACTGCGAAATATTCTGTTTGATTTTTTCGGGGCTAAGGAACATTTTTCGCACGACCACGATCTCTGACTGTTTTGCGACTGTGCGTATGACTTAGCAGTGACTCAGTTCACTGCAGTCGATATAGAACGGTGTCGTGCTTTGCTTAACACTTATTCTATATAGTTTGCTGTTATTTTACATAGTTTACGCTTATAATATATTATATACATAATATAGTAATATATATTGGGCTCCACAAGGTTTCCGCATCAATAAGCTTAGCCCATGATAGCAGAAATAAGGAAGATGCCTTTCTTTGAATTTAAGACGTTTGTCATCTTGAAGTGAATGGAATCAGGTCTTCAATGGAACTTCATAACACTTGGTAACATGAGATGAACAGTCATCTGCAAGGAGCTTAACAGAACAAATGCTGCTTATGTATTCAAAAGCCAAACAACGGATTACGCGGAGATTTTTACTGTATCTCTCTAGTAGAATTTGTAATGCCAGAATGACTGATAATAACGCTCGGTTCACAAACACTGTAGCGCAGTTTGAAGATTGGCCAACTAACAAAACAGGCACCCTTGTACCATAGGGATTTAAATGGAGCGAAATTCATCAGAATTCCCTAGGTCACCATTTGTCTGGCATCTCAAGGTCAGCCCCACTATTTTTCATGAATACCGTGAAGATGAGAAACCTTTTGAATAATAATTGAGACACCCACCGTTTAGGAACCAAGAGCGATTCAACGAGTGCAAAACGTCACTTGATGCATACCGCTGTCTTTTTTGCCGTACAATATTACGTTTCCTTTAATTGACTCGTTCAGATGTTCTACACTTAGGCCATCGACCGGAATAGGCTGAGCAGAATATAATAGTGTTTGTTTTAACCCTGTTTTGGGGGCAACTTATTGAAGAAAATTATGGCGCATGTTTATTAAATCGTGTTATAAGACAAACAAAACTATTGGTAACGAATTCAAGGTTGGAATGACCCTCTGAGCTTCCGCTCAAATATAAACTCTACAGTGTGTGATATTGAATTTGTATGTGTACTTAGCTGAGTGGCTCATCTGTATATTGCAATATGACTGTGGTGGTGCTATTTAAATTTATTCATTAACCATTTATATCTAACATTGTAGAAGGAAATTTTTATACTAGAATTATGGATAAAATTGATATTGCGCTGTGATTGGAGAACGTGATAGTAACAAAAAGTATAGCAGATAATAGTTCAAAGCACTTACGATTCTGTATAGCCGTTTATATGAATAATTTTCATCTGCTTCAGGATTGTGGACTTTCCTGATTCTCCCGTACCTGGAAGAAAAGTTATCAAAAGTTCCGAATTTGGAAGGTGAAAAGGCCGAATCCCAATAAATTCTAAAAAGCATTCCCTCGGCTAAAAAGGGTGCTTATCGCAAGCACCCTTTGTAAACGCATACAACACCCGTGATTCTTCTTAAGTTATGAAAGTTTATCTTCGCCTTTTTTTACCGCGGTAATTCAGAAACCTACGTTGACTTCCCAGCTGAAATCTTTCCAAGGAAATTTTGTGCTTCCAAGTTGTCAATATTTGACTAAATCTCTTATTTATCTGGGCAGACATTTGGACTGAAATAACCTCCCTCCCAATAACTTAAGAGAATTCTGCTAGAAGAATATATCAAAAGAGTTATTATTTAAGAAACATTTATAAAATTAAAAAAAACTTAAGATGGCTTAACCTGGGCGATTAAACAAGAAGCCTTTCGTCAGCTTCACTGCGCCCCTGAGGGGATCGAACCCGGCCAGTAAAGCGCTGAGGCCTGATCGGGTCTTTTCTGCTGGTTGATTCTAGGATGATGGATAGTGCTTAATTTTACAAGCTTTATTGATTCAGGTGAAGCTGAGTCGCAAGTGAACATCTATCCGTTTAGTTACAAACTGCGCACTATGACCTATTCTGACCAGCTGATAACGTGGTCTGACAACTAATCGACATTGGATTGGTCGGAAAGCTACAGTCTGTAATTTATAAGTCTCATCTAGATGATCCGATGAATAGCTGACTTTCATTGTGACCCTCGGAGTCAAGTTGAAACCAGCAACATAGAGTTTCACCAGTACACAAACTGCAAAGTTGATGACTGACCAGAACAGCTGATACTTCAGACCGAATTCCTGAAATGTACGAACAGTTTCTTCATTCCACGGGACTAATCTAGCATGTCTAGCTGATGATATAGTATCGTGGTGGAAGACATTTAGTACATAATGAGTCACTGGAGGTGGTTTTGTCGATCCTAATTCCTTAATCTAGATGGGCACTTCCTTTCCTCCCACAGGTATCTTTATGTCATTCAGGACAAACCTACCCGTGTACGTATGACCGAAAAGGCCTACGATGAATCGCATAATGGACTTAATTTTTGGCTCTGAATGGCATGAAGGCAAGTTCACATGCTCATCCACATAAAGACCTTAAGTTTAGAAGCCATGGTCTGCAACAGATTACGCTGTCGAGGTCAAATTAGTCAGAACTCTTCTGATGCTGGCCTCGGTGCTTCTAGTGCTACCAGATGTAAAAGTAAGTAGACTCTATTTTGAAGTTTGGGTCAACTAACAGGAAGAAATTTACTGTTTATTAGGAGGACGTTATCCTAAAGCCAGTGAATGCGGTATTAACTATAGCATCCTAACAACCGTTTTGTGTAAACAATAAACAAACTTATTCAGGTAATTGGTATGAAAAAGTGTATCTTTCAGACCGATTGCTTATCACTTGAGAGTCACCAAGTGACTGCTCCAGGCAAAATCTTCTATGCTTTGTTACGAAACACATCAAGAGTTTTTTCTGGAGAAAGCAAGTTTTTCCACAAGTCCCGAGATGATCTGCAGAATTTAAGAAACGTTTCAATTAGCACTGAAAACCAACTGGACGCGGAAAATTCCCGAGAGTTCCAGCTCTGTGTCTAACTTGTCCGTTCCAAACACAGATAAACGAAGCTTTAGTATGCATGAAACTTGCTGTTGTTCAATCTTCAGTAAGGGAACCATCACCAGATAAGTACCATTAAAGCGCCTAATTGACTGGGGTAAGTCGGAGGATCAAGAGCCAATTCAACCGAAATCTCTGATACCATGTAGGGCTGTACAACAGTCAACGCATACCTTAAAACATATAAAATCAAACTGCGGCATCTGAATCGGTGAAAAATCTATCCAACCACCACATAACTCCAAGTGTGTCACTACTCACAATGTTCAGCGAATGGGGAAGCGCAATGTATCAAATTGTGAATCCCTGCGCAATCAGTATTTTTCAGACTATGTCAATGCAGCCAAACGTTTCTTAATGAACATAAACCAAAAAAAACAGATTTACAGGTGACCAAAAAGTTTGGCTTCCGTTCACATACGGGATGCACATAAACCTAGGTCCGGGAAATCAAGTTAACTCCCGACTATGTCTGCCGCAGTGATTAATTCGATTTGTCGTCTATATGGAGGCTTCCCACACAAGTCAGTGGACAATTGGAATGTGTGTGAAACAAATAACCGCACAGTGGCGCACCGGATCTTAGCCGAACTAACCATCACTCTCGTAGATCATCAGCCAGTTCACAAATATGAAACACCGGCACACTAACTGACAGCAGTACCGCTTTACTTGCCTCTATGAGTTGACCTGCATCGTGTGTTAAAAACCGCTTTTTAAGCATCGTTTCAGCGAGGTGGATTTATCGCTGGGTAACGATTCGCTTTTTACCCAAAAGCTTCGTCAGGCCATGTGAGTAAGTGAGTAGGTTGCTCGGGTTTTAAGACATTTAGAGGACCAGTCTGTGAGATTTCTTATGACTAGCCGACTTGAGACGGGGTTTAATATTCACGCCACAGGGACTGGTGGCTGAGGCGGTGGAAATCGCCAAGCATCCCAGTGTGAATAGAGTAGAGGGAGTAGAACTTGCAAACGTGTGGAGAGCGGTCTTAGATCAGCCGAGATGACACGAGACAGTGTGCAGTTAGCAGCGAAATGGTCCAAAAGTACAAAATCCAAGTAGAGTAAGATGCAATTAACCACCTCCAGCCGCATCCCGGAACCAATTTCCATGGCACCCTTCGAGGAAAACAGGCGAACGAAATATGTGAACGACCTCAAGAGGAGTATTCTATTAAGGCGTCCTAGAATGAAAAAGCAAGGCCGAAAAATCCGGATTCAAAATTAAGGCAACTTCTTCCCTTAACCAATCTATCGTAAATGTCGGTCAATCCCACTAATCAACAAACAGGAATACCAGACTGAACACCTAGCATTGATCAAGTCGTCTAGTCATAAGAAATCCCTGACTGCCTTAAAACCCAAACAACCTACTTACTCACTTGGCCTGAAAAAGTTTTTGTGTCGAAAGCGAAACGTTGCCCAGCAACAAATCCACCGATTGTTTGCCAAACCTCTGAAACGATGACTACCCAATTTGTCCCAAGCATTTTGTAATTGAATGACTCTTAAGCACTTTGTTTTTCTACTTCGAAGCGTTCTCCACGCAATTTCTTTTCACGTTCAGTGTTTTAAAATCCGTTCTCACTAACCTTCAGTTTAAACAGTTCCAACCAAAACGAATTCCCCATGGTTGATGGTGAAGAAAGGTGCTGTTTCTCTGGTGCGGTATACGTGTAAACTGTATAATTTTAGCTCAGTCCTCGTTACCTAGCGTAGAGCACCGCAGTATTGTCATCAGTTTGTGAATCCCCAAGGAGAGCGTAAGCAGTGTGCCTGGATGTCTTTTTAAAATTGATTTGACCGCAAAAACTCTATGAACATGCCAAACTCAGATAGACGGAATTCATAATGACCAGTGGTCAGGGCAAAACCTATGTGAATTGGTCATGAAGGCAAGACGTCCTCCAGCTCTTGAATTTCTTCTGAGTTTACATGAATATCCGAATAGATCACTGAAATCAGTTTCACGATAGTCATGGACTGACTGTAGCACGCAAATCCATCAAATCACAGACCATATGCTCGACTAGCCGTCTACATGTGCTGCGTAAATGTTTCATTCGTTACATTACACTTAGAAGAACACTGAAAGCACACTTACGAAATGCTGCTGTCAGGTAGGTTGACAGGTCGTTACTGATCTGAACATGTGACGTCGCTGACCTAATTGCGAGCAAAACAATTATGGATATTAACTTCTTTCCGCTAATGGATCGTCATTGATATGTTATCAGGTGAATTTTTTTCGAATTGTATGACATTCGGGTTAATGAAACGGGAACCGTCAGCAACTTTTCCTAAGACAAGTAACAAAAGACAATGAGTAATTTCATTGAAACTGTGAGTATTTCCCTTCCTTTAAGTAGTGCATTCCATCAGGCGTTTTAACCTGTGAATCAGTGCGCCACTCAACTGCACACCGAAGATTTCTTCTCGACTGCGGACGAAACGTTTGCAAGCCAACTGCCAAGCCCGGCGGACAGATCAACTGCCATCCGATAAACCACCAGTGCGCGTGCTGCTCGAATACAGGTAACACCAGCAATTGTCAGTACAGTATGAATTGAATGTACTGGCATGAATTCAGAAAACAGGGTAACCAAGCAGTAAGCGAACGACATGGAAGTTACGAAACATGTTTGTTTCTGAACACCTAAACAATGTGCAGAGCGTGTTGAATTTTGTGTACGATTAAGTCACAACTTCCATCGTTGCTATCATGCACGTTTGCAAAAGATACTACTTTCTAAAGTGGACGTTTTTCATTTTTCCTGTTAGTTTTCTGCTGTCACTCAACGTTTGTTTGATAATTGAAAACTTTTGTGGCCTATGATTTCCCCAGAAACGAACCACTTTAAAAGTAAATTGCTGACAATTTGTATTTCAATTCATATCAGAATGTGGTTAATAGGGAAGAGAAACCGTGGGGTGGTTTTGCCCTCATGTTTTGATGGATCACGTTGTATTTTACTGTGAATTGCATCCTATGTTAGAAGGGCGAGACGGGTTAAAGTGCGAAGTGCTGACCGGAATCTTTGTGGTTCGAAACGGAACCTTTGCCTCTCGACTCTCCCTGTCTATGTTTGCGCAATCTGACAGTATCCCAGCACTTTTACCTCCTTCTGGTATGGCAGCCAGGCACCAAAAGGGTGTCACAGCTGCGCGATTTATTTATTTATTTACTCATTTATTTTATTCTATGTTAGAGGTCATCTGCTTAAATGGACGTTACCCAGGAAAAAATGGCTTCAGCAATTTGAGCAGCAATCCTCACTTTTTTGCACATCATAACCTGGTTGTAGTGGATCTTTGCGAGATGAATTCGCCCACACCACTGTAGCTACAGAGATTACAGAAATTACAGAGATTACGTAACAACAGCGTTGAGTAGATCTCTATTTGCGAATTTTTTTGTTGAGTAAAAGACTCCTTTTGTATTCAACTATAGTGGTTACCTAGTAAAGACGCTTACACATGTTGCCGTTGTGCAGAGTTAAGAGCGAACCATACTAAAAGTATACTTGGGTGAGCACACTGGACATTCAAAGACGATATACTTGTGGCAATATGTGCTTTATGGAACAGGCAAATGTCCAAAAATTGAATGCAAACTCAGAGCGTTAAACCTATCATTATCTCTATTAGTATGACTAGTTTTATACTAGGTTTGTGGATGAGAAGAAAACATCTACAAGATTAACTGGTTTCGTGATTACAGTTTGACTTGTATCTGGGAGAAAACTAGTTGGATTCTGGGGCATTTTTACTGAAAGTCAGGGCCGAATAACACTGTGAAGATTGCGCAGGTTGATTTTATGCCGTTTTCCAACTTACGAAATCAGACATCCGTTTGCAACCTAAAATCTCGTTAATGTCAGGCTTAAATGGTGCTCGAATAAAGTACTCCATATATATCCACAAATGGCTGTAGTACGCAAATCTTCCTCCAAGTTTCTTTGGTTCAATTCTAGATAGAAGCTCGAACCCGCCACATCCCGGCTAATGGTCTGAACAAAACTGTTCGACCACGAGCTGCTGGTCAGCGATATTACTAGTTCGCAACTATAGCAAATTGCAACGCAGCGCTTAACTCCCTGCATGCTCTATCTGATTTCCAATTCTGAGCTGAATTCGGCGATCATTTAAGAAACACACCTATCTAGTCGTTTTCAATGAAACGAGACCTGTCGTTGGGAGAAAATACTAATAAGCTTTTTTTGCATGTGGTCATACGATGCACGAAAAATGTTTCCACCGAGTGCATTTTCACAAAAAATAACGTGTGTTTGGACAGCTGTTGTGGTAATTCCGCTCCGTAAAGTGTTTGATATTCCGTATATCTTTATTCCATTTTTCTTGGCCCAATTTTCTTTTGCAAATGATTCACCTTAAATTAGACATTATGCTGTTTTGTCACAAGTCTGCTCAAGAAGACCCAACTAATTTTCCTGTGGGTGGATACCCATTTCGACATTACAAGTACCGGCAACGAGTGGATGATCAATCAACACGTGATGACAGCCCAGCTAACAGAAAACAGGAGGGTGAGGGGCAATCGATAACCGGACATGATCGCGCTGTAATGCGATATCAAAACAAGCACGATGATTCAGGCGTATCCGTTCCCCTTAAATAACCAATAATTATGGTTTAGTGAGGTCTGTACCATTATCCCCGGTTGTAACGACATAGCCTACCTGGTGCCTCACAACACTGCGGCAAGTTTTTTTTAACTTCATTCTATCACGCTCAAAACGAAACCTTTTTGCCAAACTTATGGGTGGACCTAGGCATGTAATCACACAATCTTCCTAGACGTTCTCATAAGCGTTTGCCTTACACGCGTCCAAATAGAATAGTCGCTAAAAATTTACCGCTTGTTGCGCTACCTTGTAAACTACCAAACTAAAATATCTCATAGTATGAGCAAATACATTTTATTTAACCTTTGATTAAGTTGTTTCAGATTGCTCAAATAATCCTAGCCTTTTGTTCAGATGATATCAAAATCAAACCATCCAAGACAGGCTGCACATGGCATCTGAGATTTTTGAAAGTAATTTCTAAGCATCGATAAACCTATTTAAATCAAACGATGCATATAACTTCACGTTGTATGTTGCACAGTACGCTTGGATACAAATTTAGCTTGAGATGGACTGTGGTCAGCGGTAAAATTCGTACAAGAGAAGAAACGAAGAGATTGACAAAACCATAAAGCCTTTGTCAAGCATGTCTAAAAGGAAAATGCTCTCAGTAAACGCCAGCTTCAGCTACAGTTGATGGTATAAACTTACCAAGCAAAAGCAATTTCAGGCATTTCCAGTCGGCTTTCTGGGATTGTTTTAATCTTTTGTTGATGGACCGGGAAACTTTTCTGGCCTTCTTTTCATTCTCTTCCTCCGGTGAATGGGTTACGGCACAACAAAGTAGTGTCATTCAGTCTTTGTGTACTAAACGTATCATCCACTGAGGCTTTTGTGAATAACGCGTTGTATGCAAATCAGTCCCGACAATTTAACTCGAAATTCACAACTTCTGGTTTCCTGTGACCAAGCCGTAGCTAACACGACAAATCCATGCAGTGAAGCAACAGTATGCTCAGTCAGAAGCGGACAGCCTATCGGCAGATAACGTGGCCCACAACCTTGAGATTCTTGTGGTGTCCAATATCCATAAAGTCACTTTCGCTGAGTGATCGGTGTTCAGTGCTTTGTGCTGATTGGTTCGTTTGCAGCTGACCGCACAGTCGCCACTCACCAGTCTTTGGCTCTGAGCATGTGTACTATCCGCAACACGGACGCGTTTTCTGATTGGATGCTAAAGCTAGACAAATCACGCCTGGATCATGTGCGCGTAACAAGTGAGAAATTCTTCTCAGAACACACGTTTTAGGTACACGGGGTAGCTTTTTCTACCTTGGTTTTTGGAGTTACACATTGAGGAAAATGGAACGCGTCCTGATCATCTGGGTACAAATGGGTGCCAGAAGCATACTACAAGAAAGGGTTCACGTGAAAGGCTAATTTCTCACGAGTCATTTGTCGCCACGGCAAAGATGCTAAACTTCATTCAGTTTTTTCTCAGTATAGTGCAGAATAATTGCTAGACCAAGTAGAAAATGTTGACTTTCACGAGATTAATAAGACATCCATGCAGAATCCCGAGTCATCTAAAACTGGATCGAGCTCTGTGTGTCCTATAGCCTGTCACCAAAATCTCTGCAAAGACTTTAGTAAGAGGGCCCCATTTAGTTTCGTTTCTGAGGTCGCTTCTGCTACACAATCCATAGTTTTGCTTTGGATATCAAAATACCGGGATGAGGTTAAACTCGATTGGTTTGACTGTCATTATCATGCATCCTATTGGAAGGTATTTAATCAAAGTTCATGAACAGGAAACTTGACTAAAGAAATCTGAAGACGTGGAAAGCCGACAAAAAGCAGGCACATATTACGCCGGACGATCTGTATCAACCAACGTCTTAAGGAATCTTGTTTGGCCCCACTGGTGCAGTAATAACCCAAGAGAAGGAATACCCCAGCTAACTACTATCGTAGCCTATTAGCGTCATAAAAAAATGAAACCATAATGGCGAACCTGTATAACAGTCTACATCCACTTCACTAAGAAAAACCGACTGTCTTACTATCTGGCCTGATTAGCATATGCGCCGGAACAATTGCTATTACAAAACTTTATATCGCTATGGCGACAAAACAGCAATCGAGACCGTTGGTTCGATAAAAATTGAAATACCATCTTTTGTAGTGACCTATTTTTAGGTTTCAGCTTCAAGGTTTCATTCTCAAGAAACATTATTCGTCACACAAAGTGATTTTCAGTCGAAATGAAGCTTTCTGAGGTAGCTGGATAGTGTAATATTTGTTCGTGTGATATAACTGCCTCGACCGATGAAAGACGAATAGATCTACGTCAACCTTCGTACTAAGAACAAATCTACTAGTTTTTTTTCATGGAAATAAAAGCAGTTTCTGCTCACCCATGAAGAGTTGTTTCTTGGTTAACAAATTACAGCAATTTGAGTAGTTGTGTCACTGTCCAATTCTAGAAGGCTCCCCAATCAAGAAGCTTATTGAATAAACCATCAAAGAGCTCAGTTTAGTTAACCCATCAACACAGATTCAGAACTAAGGTCCTTCACACAATCTACATGTCTGTCTTGTGTATTCTAATATCATTCTACTCTTTATTCTCTCTGTCTGTCTGTGATGCAACCCGTAAAACTTTAGAAGTCCGCTCGAGGCCTAGATTAATCTTTGTGTAGGCCCTTAAACCGGATTTTGCTTAGTCAGTTGTGTTACGTGCGACTGTGACGCCGTTTTTTGGAGTGGCCTTTTGGAACAAAAATTGGTGGAACTTAGTTTGTACATTACTATGTTCTTCCCCAGGTAGTTCGAACAATGAATTTGTCTGGCACCACCGTGAAATTTGACTTGACCGTGTTGTGTCTGCGGATTAATTTGTAGTAAAATAATCCTCTGTGCTATAGCCCAAGGTGCTGAAACATAAAAGTTGATACAGGGACCTTTCAAGAGCTAAAGGGATGCTTCCCAGCCGACACACTGTTAGGGCAAGCAATGGCCCCATCATATTATCTTGACATGATGCCCTCCACTTAAAAATGTTTTTACCTAAACGAGACAGGATACAGTACTCTCTGCCCAGAGGTTAGTTTGAAGAAGCCATATTTGCGGTAGAAGAACACATTTAGGGTACCGGGATATCTTTTAGCAGAGATCCAACTTACAAGCAATGACGGATTTGGAAGTTGATGAAATCTCGTTTGAAAATTACCTCACGCTATCATCAGTCAGTGAGTAGCTCAGAATTAAAATTTCTCAGGATTAATGAGACTTCCAGCTCGGAAGTCGTCATTCGAAGAGCCAGTTAATATATAACCACTTAGTGTGATTTCCGTGGGCAAAATATGTGTGGCGCTATATCCCATCGACATGCGAGCCAATCACGTTTCTTATCAGCCATCCGTGGCCGGAAGATTGTGTTCAGGCTAATAGCCAGGAAGTCGCGGATTCAAAACTCCCCTGAGTTTTGTGAGATGCGCACCGCCATGCAGTTTTTCGGTACCCAGCTTAGGTGACTTCGTTTGCAGGATGTGCTCGCAGTTAAAAACGCCGTTTTTGTTCAGTTTTTCTTCGTTCCAAAGTAAGTGTCCATTTGGGTCATTTAGTTACCGTTAAGCCTCTACTTAGTCTTAATATTGTCTCCAGTGAAACTGCAAAAAATGCAAGGCTAATTTAGTGATTAAGCATTAATGATAACGATATTTTAGTAGCGTTGATAATTTTGGTCATTACCGCAATGAAAAACTGAAATTGCAATTTATTACAAAACTGTCCCAGTTGCCGACAAACTTAAGACAGCCAACGTAAGATTGGGCTATAAGAAATGAATGGATTCCCCCAAATTTTCTCGTGCTGAACTAACGATACGTTAGGGTAAAGGTTAAAGACAACATTGTGTTGAGAAATCAGTCCTCCAGCTTTGGCATTGGGTTAGCCATGGAGTAAGAGATGGACATCTCTTAATTACAATGGTATACGCCATGTCAGTGATCGCACCAACGTTTCTACCAGACCATCTTTAGAGACAAACTTTCAATCATTAAGAACTTATTGTAGTTTTCAACTATTCTACAAAAATCACGCCAGTCGATTACAGAAGCTGAAATTTCAGACCCCGATCCCATTCCATTACCTTGTTCTCATAGGGTGTTGTTATGACCATCTCGTCCTTGATTAGTGAACTAGGAATACTTCCTCCTTTGGTGGGATCTCAGGTGCTCGAAACACAACGTGTGTTCCATAGTCAAATCTTGCATCTTTGATTTGGAAACCTTCCCGTTTGAGCCAGGAACTGCAAGCCTTACTCTAGCTGTGTGGTGTCTCGTTTATTTCACTTCGTATACACTTTTCAATGTACCAGGAAGAGCCAATGTTCTTTTAAACTATGCTGATCCAAAAAGCAAGAAGGCTGCTAGCAAAAGGTGAGTACTAAAGACACAGACTAGCGTGATTCTCGGATAGTATTTTTGCAAATGCAGTTCAGAATGAGAGAGAACGGTGTAATTCTCGAACTTCGGATCTAATATCCACTAATGGGAACCTTGTGGTGGGTTTCCGGCCACTTGAAAAGAAGCAACACACTAGAACTCTGAGCTTTCTGGCGTTTTTTCTTTTGTCGCTTCTTCCTCAATTGAAAAAGATCTTCCTCACATATAGACTCCTCACACAGATTTCTGTTTACATGCAATAACATGAACGTGATAGTGTTTGAGCACAACTACCCAAAGCAACATTTGTCAGCTAATTTATCCGATTAATTTTGGTGTATCCATCTAGCGTTTTCTCGAAAAAGACGTGATTTTCCAAGCCCGTCTTTTATTGTGTCCAACTTTCAATCGCCTTTCAAAAGAATTACCGTAATACTGCCATTTATTAGAGCAGTGCTACTTGCATTATACGACTGTTTCACCATTAACTATAGCTATGCATATTGAAGATGTCTAGCACGAGCCAACCTGGTAACCAAGGTCGACAGATTTCCTCTCTCCTTGTTGCGGATAAGCAAGACCATATCCTCCGGAAGGGAATCCACTGATGAGTTTCGAACAATGCATTAGTTAGTTAGCCTTACACGTTGCATGCAAACGTTGTAACGTTGCAACGAAGTGATTTGCGACCATTCATTAAACACATCCCAAATGCTGACTGTTCGGGTCCTCGGTGTCATGGTGACGTTGCTGGCCCGTCACTACAAGTAACACTTAACTAAACTATTCAAAGTTATTAAAACATTATCAGTAAATTTAAGTAAAGTGTTGGATTAGACGAATAAGAATCAAGTAAGTCTAGATCTCTTAGAACAATCCTGTGATTTGTTGTCAGTGAACTGAGAAAGAGTTGATACTACTTAAATCCATATTCGAAAGCTCTACTTGTTAGGTTCCAAAGGATTTTATTTTTGGCTGACCGGATCTTCCAACAAATAATTCACATTAACGTGAAATCTGCAGGCCAAATTTAAATTATATCGCTTGTGTTAGCCCACCAACGAACCCCACTGAGGCTGGGTTTCAGCAGATATCCGAAAAATAGCACAATCACAGCAACTTCTCCTGGATAATCAGACAAGACTTTTTTCCAATAAACCTTAGAGCATATCAGCGCATCCTGGCACATTTTTTCAGCGATTATCCTTCTGGAGCAACCGATTTATGAATGAGCATACATCTATGTAATGGTAACAATGGCCTCACAAGTTCACCCACTATTGCGTTTGGTCGTCCCTGCGATGTTCAGCATAGCAACGAAATGTCAATAAAGCCAACGTACAGTCAGCTCAAAACATAGAACTTATAAGGACGAGAATGCATCCGTATCGGGGTCCGTAAAGTTGTAGTTTTCTTTTGTTGGACAGAGTTTTGGGTGACCATACAAAGAGAGATCAGTCCACCTCGATGGAGGACTTTAAGGAATTTAGTGCCGTTTCCAATTTTGGGCAGTTTTTTCCACTCCGACGTGGTTGCTGTTTTATTTTCCGACTGGACAATCCACACATGCTCCGGCTCAAACAAAACTGCATCTC